CCCGCTTTAAACCATAAGTCACTTCATTCAGTGATAATATTGGAGTTCACTGTGTCCCATATCCTGATATCCAGTTGCATGGTGCTGATAACTTGAGAAGAAGAATTGAAATGTGCAGTTTGTGGACATACATACATATACATGTATACAACGTCACAACTTCTATGGAACGAAAGATTCCTTATACATAATACCATGTACCAATCTCTCTCATTTCACAGTACCACCGCTGGAAGGTTTTGTAATGAATCGAGTGACAGGTGATTATTTTGAAACGTTGCTCTACAAGATATTTGTATCCATAGATGAACACACCAATATAGCAGAGGTACGCATGTTTATAAAGATATCCCTTCTCTAACTCTGGGAGTGGTTCGAGTTTTTGGAAACATAACACAGTGCACGTGCATACATGTGAGCACAAAATGCTGTCTCTTGTTAAGAAGTGTATTATGCACGACTGTATTAAAAATCAATATTTGAGCACTGAACTATAAATAAATAGAAACTTTGATTTATTTTGCGAGTGAATATGAAGAAATTTCGGGACTATTGAAACTCTATTGATTTTTTTAAGTTTCAACTTTGTGTTCCATAACATAATCCTACGTGCAATCATTTTACGATAATTTATTTTTCTGAAACCATATTCAATGTTTTTCAAAACTGTTTTTGATTCATTATGGCGTTTTAAATCATATTTCATATCTTAGAAGGGTTCATGATGGAAACTGTCACAGTGGCAGAGGAAATCAGATGATGATGTCATGACCTGCACCAGATCTAGATGATTTTAACAGCTGTTTCGTACTCCATATTTGATTCCTGTTTGATTGTGATATTATTTTACAGCTTGCTAATGTGCTCCAAATTGACTTACAACTTGTGAAGAACGCAGTCTCTGTTTACTGCAGACTGGGATTTGCTAAGAAGAAAGGAAACGATGTGGATCCCGACAATTTACATCCGAGTTGGAAAGAAAAACAGATGTCAGTGAGAAAGTAAGTTGTATACTAGGTTCTAATTGGTTAATAAAGTTCCTCATTTATTTAAAAAAAATATTCATGCCCAGTTCCATTTAAGCGTCACTGTAGTGCAACACAATTTAAGATTGTGATGTGAACATCACATGCAACTAATATTGGACATGACGTGAGGCAATGACTTTTTCCTTTCAGTGTCATAAATATATTTCTTATACTGTTTTAACAGACCCAGTCAAGAAGAGCAGATGTTAATTGATTGGACAACTACAATCAACGAAAGAGTGTCATCGACATCGGATCCATCAGAAGGCACGCCAGAAACCGCCAGTGTTGATGAAGCAGGTAAACAATATGTATGCAGAGAGAATGATGATAAAATAATGTAGACAAACTTTGAAAGTTACAAGATGTCTAAAAAATGTTAAATTGGCTGCACATCAAATTTACTTTTTAGTTTCAATCTACCATTCTTACATGGCCATGATTTAATTCCAACCCTTGATATTCCATTTCACTCGGTGCATTGTAATCACTTTTGTGAATGTAAAAATGCATACTGTTAAACCACTATAAATTTTCACTACTGGATGATTTTATGGCATTTGTGTCGCTGACTCTCCATGTTGTAGAACCCCAGAGACATTTTCACAGCTCTAAAATTTCATGATTTGAATATAATCTTAAATTTTGCTATCTATCCTTGTAGTACTGGGTTTAGAGTGTCTGAATTCCCATCTGGTTACACTCTCTGGTTACACTCTCTGGTTACACTCAT